GTTATCGGCTACATGAGTTTTAAAATATCGGATATCGGCCAAAATCCCAATATCGTGCATCCCTAGTAATTAGTTCTAAAAATCCCTGAGGAGGTGTTTTTTTTAAAGGACCATTTAGCCTCAGACCTAATTATATTAACCAGAATGAAAGGATGTAAGAAAGTTTTTATCAGTTTTATTAATATTAGGATAGTAACACTAAAATAGTCCAGCCGCCCATTAATGTCCCTTTCCCGTTTCCCTTCCTGCTTTGTTGCTCCTTAAATCCGAAACAGAAGAGCTAAGATAAAAGATGGCAGGCAGGACGTCCATGTCCACCATGATCGTGTGTAAACTCTGACCATGACGGCAGACAGGCAGCTGCAGACAGATGTTTGTGTCTGTAAGCGAGGGAGGGAGTGAGGCCTTGATTATTCTGAGGATTTGTTCTGAGGTGATTCTGTTCTGCAGGGTTTGTGAAGCGCTTTGGGGCCCAGAGCAGATGAAAGGTGCTATTTAAATGTAAGTGCCACTCATTCCTTCATCTTCCCTCATGTCCTCCTGCTCCCATCCTCCTCCCCCTCCTCCCCCCCACGCCTGCTTGCCTCCATCCCTTTAACATTAAACCACCTTCCACAAACATTCCAGACAGTTTTCTTTTATCCTTCCTCCTCCTCCTCATCACTTCCTGTTAATCAAAGTCAAGCTGTGTTACATGGTTGTGGATGTACTTTCCCTTCAGCTGTCTTCTGCCCCCCCTCCCCTCTCGTTGAATTAACCAGGTGCCCTTTCTGCATCTACTCCACCAATCGTCCAGCGGCCATGGAGTGCCACCTGAAGACGCACTGTAAGATGGAGTACCGCTGCCGCATCTGCCAGGGACTGTGGCCGGACCAGGCCTCGCTGGAGGCCCACATGCGGGGGCATCGCCTGGGCAACCACTACAAGTGTGAGCAGTGCGGCTACCTGTCCAAAACGGCCAACAAGCTCATCGAGCACGTGCGCGTGCACACGGGCGAGCGGCCCTTCCACTGCGACCGCTGCTCTTACAGCTGCAAGCGCAAGGACAACCTCAACCTGCACAAGAAGCTGAAGCATGCGCCGCGCCAGACTTTCGGGTGCCAGGAGTGCCCTTTCACCACCACGCACCCCTTCGTCTTCAGCCGCCACCTCAAGAAACACCAGAGCAGAGGGGTGGAGGGGTTGGGCGGAGGAGAGGAGGAGGAGGAGGAGGCGGGAGGGGAGGAGCCACCGCTGCAGGGGGAAAAGGAGAGCTTCCTGTTGGGCGTGGGAGGCAGCAGCGGGGGCAGTGGCAGCAACAGCCCCCTCATGAGCCTGACGGCGTCTCAGGCGCTGCAGTCCGTGGCTCTGTCCCTGACGCTGGCCGCGTCCCGCCAGCCGGAGCCCGCCGGCAGAACCAGCATCAGCAGCAGCCCCTCCCTCTTCGCCCCCTCCTCCCGCCACGTGCCAGAGCGGTACAGGAACGGCGAGCACGCCCACCTGATCCCCCTGACAACCCTGTTCACCCACAACAGCCGCCTCACATTCCACTCACACCTCCACTCCAGATGGCGGCCGGACATGTCCCCCCTCGCCCTCCCCTCCCCCTCCTCCCACAAACACTCCTTCCTGGCCTACCTGGGACTGATGGAGAGGGCCAAAACTGTTTGACCCCCCCCCCCCTTTAGACAGTGGTGTGAAAGACCACTGCAGCGGGAGCAACGTCTTTTCCAATCAGACCGGCAGAATAAGCTGGACCAGACAAACTTACTAAAACATTTCTAAGAGGAAAAAACGCTGTACATGCTAAGATGCATTTATATCAAAAAGCTGCTTTTCTTATCAGTTCTATCGATTGAATTATTACTACAAGTACTACAATCTATCACCTTCTGCTCTGTTTGTAAGCATCTGAATGACCTGAAGCCAGGCGCTTTACCCGATGACGCTTATCCTGGTTTTATAGATATTTTCTTCAGTCGTTTGACAAGAGAAAAACGTAGAAAAACAGACAAAACAAACATTGCAAGTGCTGAATTTTAGTGCATTCGTGTCCCTTTGCTGTTATGCATCGGAATGGCATGCCCGTCTCTGTCTCAGCTAGCTGTGACGTCGTTAGGAAGCTGAACTCCAGTTTATGCCGCGATGAGGACTCTTTCATCTGAAAGGTCACGTTTCCAAAGCGACGCCTCAGACCATGCACTTACTTATTTATCAAGCTTGTACATAGTTTTGGACCCTTCCCCCATTTCCATCTGCTTAAGTTGCTTTTGTTTTCGAGCGACGGTGACGGCCTGACGCACGTTGCTGCCGACTGATCTCAATTATGTCTCAGAATCAATGTGTTGAAATGGATCTTATAAAGCTAACACAGAATAAGCTGTGATGATGTAAATATGGAAGATATTCAGTCTGAAATATCACGGAGAAAGATGCGTTTATTATCAGAGAACCTAAATATAAATGCAGCTTTTTTTTGCACTCCCAGGTGGATAAGCAGTAAATCTTTCAGAGCCGGGGTCCTCGACCTGCTTTACAGACTTTAGTGAACGGGCCTTAAACGCAGCACGCAGCCTTCAAACACGTCAACAACAAATTATAGCAATACCCCTCACTGCAGCTACGTACAGTACTGTGCAAAAGATCTATGTCGCTTTTTATTTCCTGATCTGTTAAAATGATGGGAGCTACATGTTTTAGATGGTTCCAGTTTTCAAACACCTGATATCACAATAGATTCACAGGTTTTACTGGACTGCAATCATCTGAATCTGGTCTGTTAAAGCAGAGAAACATCTAGAACATGGAGGGCAGCCTTGAAAAACAGTCGTATCTATAGTTTAGCTCAGAGGTAATCCGCATCTAATCTGTAGTCTGATTCAGGGTCAATCTACAGTTCAGTTCAATATTAATCTATAGTCTAGTTCAGGCCTAATCTATCGTTTAGCTCAGGTTTAATCTCTCGTTTAGTTCTGATCTAATCTGTAGTGTAGTTCAGGCTGTTGTTATTGGCTGCTTTTAATCATAGTTTCCAAGGTCAGATTATCAGATCAGCCTCTGATCTTCTGTACTTGAAGGGATCAACAGAACCTCCTGAAATCTTGTGATGAACCGCTGTTGTGTCATCAGATGATCCTCCTGGAGACGTGCTGCATGACTTTGCTGTATGTCCCTTTTTATTACCCAGTCCAAACCCGTGGAGGAATTATTTCTCAGATATCGTACACAAAGGAGGAAACATGTTTAAGCATTAACAGAATTTATTCCAGTCATGTTTGACAAAATCGTTGACACAAGCACAAATTTCAGAGGAAGGTCTCACCTTGTATTAGGCCCTTAGCTATCGACCATTTCAGGGGAGAACCAACTGAAAGGCAGAGAGCTTCTGCCCACTTTCCCATTTTATCTAAAAGTCAGTCATTCATTAGCCCCCAGTCAGCATCCAGGCCTTCTCACAGCCTACAGCATGACCATATAAGGTGGTGCTGGAGCACAGAAGAGTGCACACATTTAGAAATCAACAAATGCAACAATTATTTGAAACAGAAAATAAAAGGAAAGGAATCTTCAACAACTTTATTCCCGAGTCCCTGTTAGACGGAGGCTGTGTTAGTCTCCAACCGTCCCCATTGGACCGCAGCCTGTCTGGTTCTTGTTAACCGGTCCCGACACAATTGTAAATGCCCTAATGGGGAGTGGCGGTCTAGTGGTTAGGGCATAGAGTGTGAGACTTCCACTCTTGGTCTCTGAGCAAGACCCATAACCTCACACTGCTCCCTGGGTGCCGCACAATGGAAGCCCACTGCTCCCAAAGGGGATGGGTTAAATGCAGAGAGTTAATTACGTTGCTCAGTACTTGTGACAGTGGAATGACAATAAAAAGCTAAAAAGGCGTTGCTAAGAGACATTTAAACAGCAGCGTTATTCCTGAGGCAGAATGCTAACCATGAGCCAGCTTCCTACAAACAGAATAGAAAATCCCTTAATTGTTCCTCAGTGGGGAAATTCTGGTGTTTACAGCAGCAAAAAGATTATAGAAAGAATGGTCACACTAATGTGGACCTTAGAAAAATGAATAAGACTAACATAATAGTGAAGAGTTAAAAGATAAACAATGAAATACTGTACTGTAAAGTGTTTTAACAATATGAAAACTGCACCTGGATGATAGATAACTAGTATACAGCTATGGACATTTCTACAGTAATGGATATGTGAAAACAGAAGCAACATCAGAGATGTGCAAAATGACAGCAGCAGGTTATTTAACTGACTAAGGTAGAAACTGTGCAAAATCAGCATGAATGTAACAAATATTGAGGTTATTGGGAACAGTGGTGGTTATAAAGTCTTCCAGCTGCTGGGAGGAAGGATCTGTGATGACGCTCCCTGGTGCATTTAGGGTGCAGCTTATGGGGAGGAGCAGAGAACCCGACCCGCCAACTTCAGCCTTTCACTCAGTGCTCTAAAAATTAGTCGAAATTTCTTAAAATGAGTGCTTCCACCCCTAGTTTGAGAAGGTAAATAAGCTCATCTGCCAAGAGAATAAGTATTTTTACACTTAAAATAAGATCATTAGNATGTGCAAAATGACAGCAGCATGTTATTTAACTGACAGAGGTAGAAACTGTGCAAAATCAGCATGAATGTAACACATATTGAGGTTATTGGGAACAGTGGTGGTTATAAAGCCTTCCAGCTGCTGGGAGGAAGGGTCTGTGATGAAGCTCCCTGGTGCATTTAGGGTGCAGCATATGGGGAGGAGCAGAGAACCCGACCCGACCCGCTAATTTAGTGCTCTAAAAATTAGTAGAAATCTCTTAAAATGAGTGCTTCCACCCCTAGTTTCAGAAGGTAAATAAGCTCATCTGCCAAGAGAATAAGTATTTTTACACTTAAAATAAGATCATTAGATATTAAAGGACTTGAATTAAGACAAAGCAGTTTTTTTTTCTTTTTTCAAATGTAAATTATCTTATTCCTTTGGCAAAGATTCTCATTTAGCTGCTTCATTTGTTTAAGAAAAAATAACTTTCTTAGATTTACATTTTCTGCAGTGTTCTGAAAAGATTTAATCCAGAGCAGCTAATGATTCCACAAGGAGAACCTGGTGTTAAAAGCATAACTGCAGATTATTAAGACCTCTGCCTTTCCTACTAAATACACCCATGGATAAAAATGTTGATTCTCCCCGTTTAACAAAAGAAAAACCTGAAATGGTCACAGAAACAACTTGAATCTGACAAAGTCATTATAAATCACAGATTAAACTAATCATGGCTGATGCTAGAGGATTTCATCTCTAATTCATGATACTCTGAAACAAGCTGATCGGTATTTCTGATTTCTTATTTCTAAACGATTAATGGTAGAAAGAAAATACCTCCTTGGTTAATCTGGGGATTCTAATATTCTGAAAATCTAACATTCACCCAGTTTTCCATCAGCATTCACTAAAAGATAAACACAAACTAAAAAGGTTTGTAGAAAATAAAATAAAAAAATCATGAAAATATAGAAACAAAAGTCAGACATTGATTTTCAACCATGATTTAACAGAATGACTAAAATAAACTAATGAAACAGGCCTGGACTAAAATTATGGTTTTCATTTATTATTTTTATCATATTGTAGTTATTTCTGTTATCATTGCATCTGCGTCTTTCATTTACCTTCCTGGTGAGGCTGTAGACCTGAAAAGAAAAAATAGGAGGAAAATCAGCCGAGGTCTAAAGAAAAAAGCTGGAAAGACCTTCAGAAATTTCCAGAAACAGGATAAAAAACCAGCCTGAAGAAAAAGTTTCAAACTTTTGCACAGTACGGTACGACCTCACAGTGTTTCCCCGCTTTAGGAAGCAGGACAATTTCCTGCCGGTTGTCCTGCAGCGGCTGCCTGGATCCGTGTTGCCGCGTTCCGCCATCATTTCTGAGACCGGCTTGATATCAGCCCAGCATAGATGCAGACCTATGGATCACGCTCCCACATGTAGAAGAGATTTATGAGAGAATGGAGGCGACCTGCTGCCCGGCAGCTGGAGTCGCCACAGGCCGATTCAATGGTGCTTTTTGGAGCTTTTTGTAATTTTTGTGTACAAAAGAGGAAAAAAAAAACTGTTCCAAAATGACTTGAATGAATGTATTTTTGTTATGTTCATGAAAAAGATGCGATACGAGGAGCGACGACAGCTCTGCTAAAGACAGAGAACCTTGGTGTGTCTGGTGGCCTTTCTGTGTCTTTTTCTGTTTTTATATTCAGTTGTTGTTTTAATTACTGAGCCTTTTACATCATATTTACCATTTTCTACCAACGCTCACAGAGCAGCCGTTGATGATGAGGAGAAGCCATGGTTTGTGTCCAGCAGGCAGACGTGGTACCGCTGTCTGACCTCCTTCCCCTTCTGGCAACCTTTGGGTTTTAATTGCACTCGTTATTGTTACTCTTTAAGCCAAAAGCACTTAAACCTTTTATTTTATTGTTTGTTTTTTTTAGAGCAGACTTGGACCCTCTGTGTTTCCATAATGGGACTCAATCACCCCCCACCCCCACACGTTTCTGCTCTTTACCTGCAGTGCAAAAGGCTGCACCTCTGTGAAATCAGAGAAAGGCAATGAACACAAATTGCAGGAATTAGACTGCAGAGGTCGAGCCTCCCCCCTCCTGGGAACTAAAGGTCCCAGGCTAAACCATTCTGGCCAATTTTGCACAGGGCTGCACTTTTACACGATGAGATCTGATGCTGAGAAGAGGCGACATCCGGCAGCGTGGTTCAGATATTTCCCTTTCTGAAAGCTTTTCCTCTATTGATTCCTTCTTCAATCCAAATTCCCTCATTTTCATTTTATTTGTCTGTTTTTACCGTTGCTGCTTCTTTTTTATTGTCGTTTTTTTTCCGTCTTGTTGAATCAGAGATTTCAAAGATCTTACACCGTTCAGACCAAAGCCGGATGTGATGTTAGGATTGAATCCGTCACGTCCCGCTGCGGGAGCGCCGCCGCCATCGTCTTCCCCCCTCGCTCCCTTCCTCTCTGTCTGTGCATCTTTCTTTGGTCTCTAGAGAGAAAGGAGCTTCCTTCCCAACACTCGCTCACCATGGTAGTTATCCTTTATGCTCTAGTGCCACTTGGTGGAAGGAACCCACCTGAGAATGAGTCTAACTAATTGTCAGGGTCCAGTAGAAAAGGGGAAATGGAAAATGTGTCCTTTTATTTTCAGACGTCTGCCTTTTATCACAGCTTAATCATGACTTGCTGCACCTCCTCCTGACCCCTTTGGGTCGAGTGTGAAGAAGAGTCCCCCTGAGCACTTATCCTGCCTGCTTTTTTAATTTTTTTATTTTATGATGTGTGGGGGGGGGTTAACCCGGTGGTTCGCAGCACAATGACCTTTTAAGCTCGACTACCTTCTCAGTACCTTAATGCACGTCACCTGTTTCTCTACGGACTCCCAGGTTTGCATCTGGATGCACCGTCTGCAGCCTGTTAGCTTGAAGTTTAGCTGCGTGTCATGATCAGAAAAAAAAAGGCTCAGCTTATCTTAACGTTTGGCACTTGGTAAAGATTGGTATGTGCTGTACAAAGCTTTTTTTTATTACTCCATTGTTGAGGCTGTACAGGGTTGTGACGATAACTGGTAAATAGATCATTTGTACTCTTTTCTTTTGGGGTTTGTATTTTTGTTTTCTCTTGTTTCACATTATTTTATGTTCAACTTGCCAGATCTAAATGTAACAGGATTTGAAAGTAAAGCTTACATCAGATATTTATTCTGTTGTCTCTTTAATTTTTGAATGATGTTTTGATTCTCTGTAAATAATGATGCAGAAACACAAAATTTATGTAATGCAAAACATAATTTTCCAGTTTTTAATATTTAGAATTAGTTTTTTAACATTGAGTCCACATCACAAAGATAAATCCACACAGAAGTGGTCCCATAATGTTTAAGAATAAAAAAAAAGCTGGACTCAAGCTACAAATCTCAGGAAACTAAGTTTATTGCATCAAATAAAGGTATAAAAATTAATCATCCCATAAAAACCTGAAGTTTTGAGCTCAGCTATTATTGAGTTGTATAAAAATTTACTTTCTAAGTTTCTTCTTCTAGTGGGCAAAGAAATGAGAGAAAACAGCAATGACAAATGAGAAAAACTGTTGATTTTTAACACATTTTCAGCTCGTCCAATGAACTGATGTCTTCACCTCTAAGCCCCCAGGAACTTCTGAAGTTTAGTGCTCAAAATAACGACCAAATCTAATGAAGGTTTTCCCAGCAGGTATTAAGGTGATCAGAATAAAACAAACACCTCAGAGGGAGGATTCATTGGAAGAACCGCAGCAGCTGCTATCGTTTCAGAAATCATGAAATATATTTATATAATATTTTTTTTTTACTTTTAATGAGGGCACTGAAAAAAAAACAACTAAACAATATAAGAGTTCATCTGATGTATAAAATGAGCCTGATGGCTCTATTCTGCAGCGTGCATAGTCGTTTAAGGTAAGCAGAGGCCGTGCTGTTGCTGTCTCAGCTTTCAGGAACAAAGCCAGCATTGTGGAACAACAGGGAGGTTAAAACAGAAATGTATGGCTTCCATCTGAAAGGAAGAAAATGTCCAAGTCAAAATAAGGCACCTTTATTTTTTTACATTCTCCGCTGCAGATCTCCACAAACATCATTTACTCTGTCTCTGCACGCTTTCATGAAGCCAGTCCAGGCATGTCTGCACCTTAATCCCACAGTTTGCCGGTCAATCAAACCATCTTTGCAGCATCCACCTCCAAAGCTCGCTGACCGTTACTAAATCCAACCCTCCCCCTCGGTTCTTTCTGAAAACGATGCATCCAAGTATCAGTATAAAAGAGCCGTTTGACCAGGAAGAGCCGGATGTCATCCTGCTTACCAGGACTACGTCTTAAATGCTGTTTTTACAAAACATGCCTCTAGCAGTGCTGTTTGTAGGGATCCAATGCTGCAACACTAATCCCTGATGCATGCAGCCATCATTGAGGTTTCACTGCTTTCTTTCCTGTTGATTTAATAAGAGATCCAGTATTCAAGCTTGCAGAAGAAAAATCTTTGACTGATACT